AACATTGGGGCGTATATCGATTTTTCCCAAAGTACAAATGAACTTTTGTATGATTTACACAGTGAATCATAAAAGTTTCATCGGCGCTATACACGAGCGCAAAATTTAAGGTTTATTTGCCCGCACTTCATCGTTTCGCCATTCTACCGACCGCAACTAGCAAGTTCACTTTTCGACCCGTATAAGTCTGTCGCTTGATTTTCGAACGTTTGCAACAGCGGCAGCCACACACATTCTCTAATCAACTGATCGCTTTCAATGAGTAGTTAAGGCAAGTTTAGTTGTGTCCGCACTGGCAACGTAACTGATGGAAGTCCACCCACCTAAGTGTACGAAGCCCACTTTGACCTGATTTGACTGTACAAAATCCTTAACAGCAGCTTAAAAACAGTAGTTACACGAACAAGCTTAGAATGTTCCCTTCCGAAAGACGTAATACTGGGACCAACGCTATTCGCTGCGCGGCACGGTTCCAGAGAAAGAGTGCGGCTAGTTCACGATTGACTGGTAGAACGTCGGCTGTCATCGCCCTCCTGACTTACTGTTGTGTCGAACACAGGAGCAAACCTAGCCTGCTTACATAATTATGTAGCGGCAGCTTGACCGAGAAAATAGTGGCGAAACTTCATTAAATCTACTCATCAAGGAATTAAGGAAGCAAGAACGTATTTTAAGCAGGTCACATGTTGTAGGTTACCATGATGAGAAGTTATTAAAAACCATTCTTTCTATAAAGAGCAGATGCTGTGTATTAGTGAGTAACCGCCTTAATAGTTTACATGCTACGACGACTGGTAGCGGCTTGCAATGGAAGTCGTAGCTCTGGGGCTAACCCTGTCCTCTGCAAGTCCCTAACATGTGTGACAGTGGAGGATGAGCTGTGAAACATCGCACTTAGATATCAGAGTCATGATGGTCCGCTGCCATCGCCCATGGCCCAGTGACATAAGTCGCTGGCTCGTAAGAGTAAGGTCATGGGTTCAAATCCGGCAGGTTTCGGCGGGTGGGCCATACTGACGAGTCCCAACAGGACGAAACGGTTGTCTAGCGCTTTCCTGGATGTGCGTCTGTCTAGCTGCGATGAATATTCGCAAAAACGTGCTGTGTAGTTGGTGTATATTGGTGTTCAGCTAAAAAAACCTGTGACCGCTCGAAGGCATGCAGTAGAGCAGGGTCCACCAAACTACGACCAGCGGGCCGGATCTGGTCAGCCTGCTGTACCCGAATTTGCTAAGCAAATTGTAGGAAGAATCGCCGTGATAAAATTTATATTTGACACTGAACGTCGCATTGTCATTGGCCTTACACTCTTTGAACGCTAGCGTAAGCTATCTCAGGGTTGTTATATGTGAGACCATACTAAGGTACTATTAGTGACCCAACATCATTGGAACATTGGGGTGAAACCCATGCATTCATGCTTCTGTTTACCTCACATCTTTGTGTCACAATATTCGGATAGGTCCGCTCACTTGAGACACGCCAATAGTTTATGTACGTGTCATTATGGAACCATAATTGGAACGAATTGCAATGTGATATTACGGAATTGCTCTGGAAGTGTTAATTGTGGGGCTTCATACATTTTGGTACTGCTAAATGCATGTCTCATCAATGGTCCCTTCTCCTCTACTTTTCCGATGTTTCAATTGAATTTTTATCAAGTTTGGAATTCCTTATATTTTTCGTGATCAGCCTTTATTAAAGCTACTGAGAAAAGAAAAGCGGACAAGGAGTGTCGCGTTTTAGTTGTCTTTTTTCCCAAAGTATTCGTTCCGGTCGCCAAGTAATACGGAGAATATTCATGCAGCTCAAGCTAATCATTGTATTAGTTATCCGACCCGCGTTATTTTTTCAGTAATCCGGTCCGCTGTGAGTAAAGTTTGGTGACCTCTGCAGTAGAGGACTGATATCAGAGCGAAAAATCCTCGCCTGTTGGTTTGGAATACCAGAAGAAAAGTTTCCTAAATTCTTATAAAAACTGAATTTACATGGTTCACTGCGAACGAAGATAGCAAGTCATGGAGGAGGAGACTGTAAGCAGTAAGCACAGAGCAGCAAGATAGTGGCAATGAAACTGGACTCGAAATCGGCGCAAGGGTTTACGCATCACTCCGTTTTACAGAATTCTTCTAAGTGATACTTAAATTCACTTCGGAAAGGACCTACACATGGCTGCTCAACGCCGAGATCTGATACACAGTCACTAGACCTCCAAAGAGAGAGTGAGAGTGAGGCGAAAAGGACTCAACTTGTGGATTGCTGATGCGGGGGGTGGCCGAGTCGTAGTCCATTTCATACTGAATGACACAACTTTGATTTCAGCATGTCCACGAAAACCGCACTCCGTCTCTTCAGGAACCGTTAATCGAGGTGATGGTATTCGACAAGTGACGTGGGATTACTAATGAGTAAACGGATACGGGTATAATTTTATTTGGTTTATCACCACCAGATTACAAGCTGCAAAGGCGAGTTACCAATGCGGAAAAGTCCTACCAGTTCTTAAAATGCTGTGTAGATTCACGGCACTGGCAAGAGAAGTTCTGACTCGGACGGCTAACCAATGTCCTCTTCATGGGCAGTAACCTGCATGGAAGTGGGGGGTGGGTCGGGCTATATCGCAGTTACAGTCCGTGATACTCGGCTACCGCACAAATGGCTCAGTGGCATTAGCTGTTGGTTAGTGGTGCAAGCACTTTACACAAACTCACGATTAAAACATGTATGACAGTGAATTACCCGAGCGCAGTTGGAGTACAAGCGCTGCTGCTGAGGATGCGTGTAATGAAAGCGAAATATGACCGGTTTCCCATTTTGTTGTGGATCCCTAGTCCTACGAAAACCAAATGAAGCATACTTAAGTAACTAGAAACGTTCGTGACAAACTAAGCGAAGTAATGGGTTCGGACACATATCATTAGTGCGAAAGACCAAAGTGCACCTCTCTGAGCCATCGTCCCTAGGCAAATCTGATAACGACTCGATGACTTGTGCCATGAGATGTGAACTGTGCACACGTTCGCCAGCATCGGTAAAAATAGCCAAGTTCTCTGGATAGAAAGCGTCATCCATCTGTCGCACATGAAGTGTCTCGCCGTTTGGAGTTCGTATCAGCATCTGGGAATATGGAGAAACGAACATTGCGAAATGGTCAGTGTCGTCAAAAATAATAATCAGTGAATGAATAAGCAATATGAAGGTAACATAAATGAAGATTGGCGGGAGTAAAGTTGATGACTTGGCTGAGTAGTAAGGGAATATCACAATGGCGGATTAGCAGAATGGGAAAACCGAATGATTTAGGCAACTAGCTAAATGCTTTATAGTTTTAATCTACCTCTTCCTAAGAAACATAATAGGAATGGTTATTTGGTTGACTGGCAGCTCATTCCTCTTCTAAAAAGCTGGATCACTAACGCCGGCCCGTTTGGGAGTGAGAACGTAGACACCTGAAGCACACAGGCCCGACCAATCCCAAGCACAATGGAGGTGGATGACATCTGAATGGTGAAATCCACCTGCGACCAGCGATCCAACAAACTGGACCTCTAAACACAATACCGTAGTGATTTACACTTTTGGACGGTATCAAACAACTAATCAATCAGCCTCAGGTACTACGGTAAATAAATATGCGTCTGGGGCCGAGTGACCGAAGAATCATCAACATCAGCCGTGTATGAGCGACGCAAACTCACCAAAACATAAATCCATTTCAACCTATGAGGAAATTGAGTTGTTTGATTGCCATGAGCAACCATAGGATACGTCAGGGTAAGTAGTGATCATCGAACAATTAAGCTTTTTCAGGTTGGAAAAGTATCTTGTCTGTAAGGTTATAAAAAAGCATATTTCTTTGGTTAAACGAGAGGTATCAGTAAAGAAATAGACAATACAAGAAAACGAAACGCCAAAAATTATTGATAACAAAAGAGCAGAATTAGAAATCTGCGGGTAGGTACGGGTGATCAGGTTAGATAAGCCACAAGCTGCATCGCGACAACTGTGCTTTAACGCAGTGCGATGATTGGCCCACTTCTTCGTTCCAGTAAGCTATACTGTATGGTGCCCCAGAGCCACTCACAGATGAACTCAGCCTCATAGCCCCCCAGATCAGGGGTTGATAATAGGATAACGTCCATTTCTGTAAAAGCAGATCGCTGCCAGCTCGCTAATTTGCGCTTAGCTCTTTAAGCAAAACGCTTTGGTTGAGGACCCTAAACGTTCTCTCTAAGTTTGGGTGACGTGACAGTATCCCGACCAAAACAAAACTATAAATAACTGTAATCATCGTCAACTTCTAGCTACGTCCTACATCGGCCGTCGCGCAGTTTCGAAAGAGTCGCCTTACCTGCCGCATATATTACGGCGCATAAGGGAAGACACGTTATTGCTGGCGCTTCTCTTCTTTCTTTTCCACCCGTTTCCCTTACTCCACGACCTACCACTATTTCTAATGTTTCTCTTACCATTCTCGACCTAACGGGCGGGAGCAACAGTAACACTGGGATTCTGCTATCTGCAGCATACTTCGAACTCATATCAAAAACAGTCCCATAGTAAGCTACGCTGTCACTTCAGCATCAACGCTCGCACTCGAAGACAAATAGATCGGAAGGCTGCAATTGCGCAGACATTGGACACGCTGTGTCAACGTGTGCTGCGTGTCTGAACCTAGAATCAATGACCCTCATAACGTTAGCAAACTAATTGTGTCAGCCTGTTCTCTCGTCAACGGATGCACGCGTCTGGCGATGCTCCTGTAACAATCACAGGTCAAGTCGGGGTGGGCCTCGTTCTTAGCTGAGGCTGAATCGGTGTTGGTTATTTGGATTCTCGTGAAATGCCGTCTATGAGCAGACCGTGTGACAACATCAAGTTAGGTTAGCTCACGAAGCGATAATAGGCGATGTCGATTTGTTATTGCCGCTCATGCCTGCACCGATTAGTCCTGAAGCTACTAAAGACGCCTTCTACCAAGAACACAGTACGCAGCTTCGCAGCAATACTAGTTCAGATATCGTTCCAGTTATAAAGCAATGACAGACCTGTTTGAACAGGTCAGGAAGGTAGAGACCATCCAGGCCAACTAAGGTGAGTCGGTCACAGTGACAATAAGCAAGCGTATTAGCACAGAATGAGCTAACAAAATGGGTATCAGCATGACGCTAATAGTGATAAAGCCACAGACCAATCACGGTTAGTCGCCTCTCTGCGCAGTGGCAAACACGGGTGAGGGAAGAGTTGTCCAGAGAGAGGCTGCATAGACCACATACTTTGCGACAGATGATAGAGCTGCGTCAAAAGTACAGCAGACAGATGACAGTTGTGTTGCCCAACATCAAGAATCCGTTCGGCTCAGTCAAACAATTCATTCTGTTCGCAATAGTTACGCGGAAACGGGTTCCCATGAAACATGTACGCACTAGAGTGCCTTGTACTAAAACACAGACGGTGTCAGCGTCTACGGTGACCTACCAGATGTACTCCAGACAACAAGTGCTGTCCAGCAAGTGTAATGCACATGTGATCAACAAAGTCAATTCCTCCAGTTCCCTCGTTGATCCTCTTACTGAATGTCTCATGCATGTGCCCTAGTTACTCATCTTCCATGCCAAACTTACAGTTGGTGCACCACCAGCCTTATTACTCCTTTCTCTGATTCATATACTGCTCGACCGATCGCCACATTGTATTTGTTCCCTCCCACACACCATCTTGGCTAATGTTCAATTCCCGTATCGATCTTCGATGCACTTGCCCTCTGACCGGTGACACAGTTACCCATTTAGCTTGCCTTTAACCTGATGTGACTGGACTAATATCTGTTGCTCTCCTGATTAGCTCGGTTGTGCACGCCTAGTCCAGACAGGCACAGAGCTGGCTCAGTGGTGATTTGAACACACCGGATTGATGACCTATTGTGGTGACGGCTAACTGAGTGTATCCGTCATTTGTTTGAGGACATGGTTGAAGTATGTCGTTAGTACGATATTCTATTGTTTGGATAATAGCACCGTAGTTCAGCATTGACTGTGGCTTTTACATTTACTGGTGGGGCATCCCAGTCCCGGTCCTTGTCAATTATTGAATCTGTCGGAGGCCGCAGATCGGTGCCCTACGAGTTGTCCAACGGTCCTAAGTGCTTTTGACGCGTAGAGCAGGGTTGTCCGATCTATTTTTATTTAACATTGACCAAGATGCGAACAGCCACTTGATTATGCTGTGGTTTTTAACCAGGAGGAACTTGATGTAGTTGGCCAGTTCACCCACCTTGGAATCTGCGTTTGCAGCGGAGAGTGTACCGTTGCGAAAGCTAGGACTGCCTCCTTGAACCAACGAAATATGTGGCGTTCTTTTCGGTCTGAAAAGCCGCGCGTGCAAGGACACAGTGAGGGGCATGCTTCTCTATGTTAGTGACACTAGCACCTTCAACTGGAGAGTACAAAGCGACTAAAAGTCTTCGATCATCGCTACCTGCGGGGTTTTACTGGTGTCGGATGGTATAAGCGCGTACGTAACGAAGATGTGCGGAGGTGAGTGCTAGGCAGCGATAAACTGGTTAGCTTCTTGGAACAACAGATAACACTAAGTTGCGATCCACTCACATCGCTTCCCAACACCTAAAATCGACATTACTTCGTGATAAACTCACCTTGATCATGTCCGGATAACGTACCTTCGGTTTTCCAACTTGCTGCTTCCCTGCACTAAGTTGTCCGTATAAGAGCTGCCTGGGTATCCGCGTCGAATCCAAGCGGCTGTCATGCCCGATCCACCTCAGATGAGGCAGCAGAAATATGCAGTCCACTGCATACATGCCACAGTGGGGCAGCACTTTCGTGTCTACAACACTGTCGCACTAACCGACGCGCAGAATCAGTCAGACACTTGATGTAACCGCTTCAGGTATCTGACGTCCTTCCGTTACATCGTCCAGGGTTCACTGCCGTATAGAACGGACAGCACCATCGATTTGTATACCATCAGCTTCGTCCCAACGGTAAGCTAAGATTGTTCCACAAACATTTTTCCGCTTTTCCAAACACAGCAGCCGCCTTTGATTCGCGGATACGTAGCTCGCTCATCATCTGCAGCTCTGTAGGTATTACACTCCCAACGTAGCAAAATCTCGAACTGGTTTCCAAATCGCCATTGCCAATGTGCATTTGCGACAGGCCTACGGAATCCATTTCTAGTGCAGGCTGAAAATGACAGTCTTACTTGTGAGCCCGAATTCGGCCGCAGTTGACGCTAGAGCCGAAGTCATGTATTACAACTCCTTGCGCTGTGTGAAAACAACACACAGTCGGCTGCTAACAGTAACAAACAGATGGTTGTCTCACAGACTAGGATTCGTACCAAGAAACGACGCATGTTCAGCAAATCCCCATCAATACGGTGCTCAAAACGGACACCGTAATCAGAAACACCATTAGAGTTCTTGGGTTCAATTGTTCGCCGAGCTTCGTAATTGGTATGCAGACGTTTCATCACCACGTGACTGCGGAAGTCACCTCGCGTGGTGATGAAACGTCTGCATACCAATTACGAAGCTCGGCGAACAATTGAACCCAAGAACGATCAACCCGGGCTACCAGTACACCATTAGAGTACAAGACATCAGTGCACTAAAGTGAATATTAAACAGTGCAGGGGCAAAGACACAGCCATGCTTCACACCAGACAACATAAAAGTTATCCGAAGTTTGACGACAAAGCTGCACAATCGTCTACATGCCACTGTGCAGACATCCAAGTAAACTTACAAAATTACTCGGACAGTCAAGCTAACCCAACATTGGCTTAGTGCCCCGCGGTTCACCATATCAAACGCCTCGGTGTATACTACAAACAGCGAGTACAATGGCTGGTGTCGCTCTCGGCATTTCTCCTGCAAGTGGCGATCCGTCCATTATACGAGTGCTGACAGGGTGTCCACCGGTTAGACATTACCACTCTGTCTGCTAACTGCAAAAGGCAGTTAGCCAAGCTAAAAGTGTGGTTTCGCCACAAGAGGCCTCACACACACAAGAATGCTGTCCAACCCTGGACAACTCGCAGCTCACCTTCGCGATGCAACGCAAACCATTCACAGCTTGCGTGGGTGCATGTCCGCTGCGTCCGATTGCCGCCATTTATGGATAGTAAAGAGACCACAATAATATCACACTGCGATTGCAGATGTTGCGAGAATTTACACACAGAATAGCAACCGCTGTCAAAGGCCCAAGTGCAATGTCCTTAGCAAAAGTAGAGAAATGCCTTGAGCCGGAACACATTC